GACCGGAACCGGCCCAGTAGGGCCGCGACTGACCCGGTGCTCAGGTTCTGCTCAGATTGAACCGGGTCGGCTGCAGCTGCGGCTCGGCGCTGATAAGACTGGCTACTCCAACCGAACCCGGACGGTACCGGCTGCAGCCGAGCCAAGCTGCACTCGGCCAATCAGAGCGGGAGGAGGCTCAGCTGTCAGGTTGTGTGAATGTGCAACCTGCAAGGCAGAAACGGCTCAGGCTTCATTCTGCAGCAGTTTAAGAGATTTACTTTTTAACATCCACAAGTCAGAAACGCACAATGCTAAAAAAATAAATAAATAAATAACATTTAACTTCCTGTCCACGGCAGCAGCACAAAGAGTTTCTGAAGAATTATTAAAATAAAAGGTCTCCATATGTTTATATATATATATACACACACACACATTTACATATGGTTCATTTAATGTTTTTGTCTAAAATCTGATTTAATTCACTTTCAGTTTGAATTCTGTTCAGTATGAGTTTAGCATCATTTATTTTAATTTGTTTGTTACTAAATGTTGTTATTATTATTATTAGTTTTTCCAGAATTTAGTGATAAATAATAAGATTACTTCTGGAAAGAAAATATGTTTATTATTCTGCATAAACAGGAAGTGTTCAAGCTAACAGCAGGATTTAATAGTTTTCATGGCAATTCCATGAATTTACTGAAATTCTTTAAAAAAACGCCTCATGTTCCATAGTTTACGGTACGAAATGTTCCTGATGACAGGCGGTTATCGAGGTGAGTGTTCAGGTAAAACGGGAAATGAACCCAGAATCCTCAGAACATCCAGCGTGAGCTCAAAACCTCTAAAAACCTCCAAAACACTTTAAAACTGTAAACATCTGCCGTGATTTTAGCACAAAATCAAAGTTCGGTTTCAGGAGAACCTGCAAGACTAAACTCAGGGCAGAGTTGAGTTTCCGCTGACGTAAACAACAAAGGGGCGGAGCTTCCGAGACTCAGCCAGTCAGAAAGTAGGCGTCCTCCCGCAGCAAAGCACCATTGGCTGAAAGTTTGTCGTGCTGCGATTCTTATATAAACACCAGCAACCTGCCGGAGGGTCAGCCTGCCTCCAGCTCATCTACCCACAGAAGTACCCCGGCAGCGGGCAACAGGCGGGGAGCATGTCGGTTGACAGCGTCTTCAGGACCCGCTCTCTCGGCGTGGCCGCCGAGGGACTTCCGGATCAGTACGCCGACGGGAAGGCGGCCAAAGTGTGGGAGCTGTACATCGGAGATATCCAGAGCCGGACCCAGGAATACAAGAGCTGGGTAGTTTCCCTGCTGAAGCGCCACGGCGTGCGGAAGGTCCTGGACGTGGCCTGCGGGACCGGGTAAGTTGCCAGCCGCGGTTCGCTGTGCGCGACATCCCCATGAGTTACGGTAGTGACGTTTTCCACTTGTTGCTGAGCTGATGCAAAAGCTCTGTTTCAGGTGACCCGGATGATGGTTTATTTTGAATGTTCTCTGATGAGATTTTCTGAGCAACCTGAAGCTGAGTGAATAATAAATCAATCCAGGTGCGTCTCCAGATGTTTTAGGGACCAGAAGGGCCCCATCGGCCACCAGCTCAGGCAGGATGTTTACCTTCCAGGTTGCTTTCTTTAGCAAACTGGCAACAACACAACAAAGAGGAGCAATGCAACGGCAGAGAATCTGAAAATGTTGGGCTGGTGACGTTCGCAGTTGTCACTTAGCAACAAGATGATTTATGAACGTGTCAAACGGCGGCAGCCTTCAATAAAACAACTACTGTAAATGACAGCAACACCCGGTATGGTTCTGACCCGGTTCTGACCCGTCTGTGCAGAGTGGACTCCATCATGCTGGTGGAGGAAGGTTTCCAGATGGTGAGCGTCGACGCCAGCGACAAGATGCTGAAGTTTGCCCTGAAGGCGCGCTGGGAGCGCCGCAAGGAGGCTGCCTTCGACCAGTGGGGTAGGACCAGAACCCGACCGGAACCAGAACCGGTTCTACCAATCAGAACTGGTTCTACTGACCAGGATCTGACTGGAACCAAAACCAGTTCCACTGACCGGAACCGGTTGTACTGACTGGGACCCGGCCCAGACTGGTAGTAGAACCACAGTACAACCTGAAGCTTCTTGGTATGTTTCCAGTGATCGAAGAGGCCAACTGGCTGACGTTGCCTGATGACATCCACAGACCCGCGGACGGCTACGACGCCGTCATCTGTCTCGGGAACTCCTTCGCTCACCTGCCGGACTTCAAAGGTTTGGACAGAACTGTGCGGTGTTGACCTTTGACTTCCAGACAGTGATGCGTTGCCGTTCATCGTAGGGGACCAGAGCGAGCAGCGCCTGGCGCTCCGTAACATCGCCAGCATGGTACGACCCGGTGGAATCCTCATCATCGATCACCGTAACTATGACTACATCCTGGAGACAGGGCGCGCCCCGCAGGGCAAGAACATTTACTACAAGGTAACAGGAAGTCGGTTCTCTGTGCGTTACTCTCAGCTTCAGGCGCAGCGACAGAAATCCAGATGGCAGAAGCTGAATGTTGGTTCAGAGGCTCAGAGCTCCATATGTATTCATCTCATTTAGGCAAAACAACTGAAGAGTAATGGCTAACTAGCATGCTGATGCTAGCTCTGCTAACAGAGCTTTTTAGCATGCTAACCTTTTAATCTAACACTAGCATTTAATCTAACCCTAATTTAATTAGTTTTGCCTAGTTTCATTACATTTGGCTAGTTTCATTAGCTTTAGTTAGCTATAACTGATTTCATTAGCTATAGTTTGCTATGGCTAGTTTCATTAGCTATGGTTAGCTTTTGCAGGTTTCTTCAGCTTTAGTTAGTGTTGGCTAGTTTCATTAGCCAAAGTTAGCTATGACTAGTTTGATTAGAAAAGTTAGCTATCACTAGTTTTATTAGCTATAGTTCGTTTTGGCTAATTTGATTAGCCAAAGTTAGCTATGGGTAGTTTCATTAGATACAGTTAGCTTTGGCTAGTTTCATTAGCTTTAGTTCCCTATGGCTAGTTTCATTAGCTACAGTTAGCTTTGGCTAGTTTCAATAGTTTTGGTTAGCTATGACTGGTTCCATTAGCTATAGTTCGATATGGCTAGTTCCATTAGGTATGGTTAGCTTTTGCTAGTTTCATTAGCTTTAGTTAGATATGACTGGTTTCAATAACTATAGTTAGCTTTGGCTAGTTTCATTAACTTTAGTTCGCTATGGCTAGTTTCATTAGCAAAAAGTTAGCCTTGGCTAGTTTCATTAGCTATGGTTAACTTTTGTTAGTTTCTTTAGCCTTAGTTAGTGTTGGCTAGTTTCTTTAGCCAAAGTTAGCTATGGGTAGTTTTATTAGCTTTGGCTAGCTTCATTAGCTACAGTTAGCTATGATTACTTTGATTAGCCAAAGCTAGCTATGACTAGTTTCTTTAGCCAAAGTTAGCTATGGCTAGTTTCTTTAGCTACAGTTTGCTTTGACTACTTTGATTAGCCACAGTTAGCTATGACTAGTTTGATTAGCCACAGTTAGTAGTGCCTAGTTTGATTAGCCACAGTTAGCTATCACTAGTTTCAATTAGCTATAGTTAGCTTTGGCTAGTTTCATTAGCTATAGTTTGCTTCAGCTAGCTTCATTAGCTATGGTTAACTTTTGTTCCTTTAGCTTTTGTTAGCATTGTCTAGTTTCTTTAGCCAAAGTTAGCTATGGCTAGTTTCTTTAGCTACAGTTTGCTTTGACTACTTTGATTAGCCACAGTTAGTTCGGCTTGGTTGGTTTAGCCACAGTTAT